GGCTGTCATTCCGAAAGGGAAACTATGAGGAGATAAGGAAATTCCTAACAGATATCACATGGGAAACAGAGCTCAGAGGAGAGACGGCCCAAGACATGATGGACTACATCACGCAGAAGTGTAAGGAGGCAGCAGACAAGTTTGTCCCGGTCCAAAAGGAAAACAACGAAATGCTGATGAGAAACCCATGGTTTAACCAGAGATGTAGGCTAACTAAGCAGTAAAGTAAAAGGGAGTGGAGAAACTGTAGAAATAACAGGACACTCGAGAGCAGAGAAAGATACCAGAGTGCCAAGAATGAATATGTCAGGTTGAGAAGAGAGGCAGAAGGGCAATACGAAAAAGACATCGCAAGCAAGGCAAAGACTCAACCTAAATTGCTGCACAGCCACATCAGGAGAAAAACAACAGTAAAGGAACAGGTACAGTAATGAAATTGAGGATAGGGGCAAACAGATTCACTACAAATGACAAGGAAGTGTGCGAGGAACTGAATTAGAAATTCCAGGAAGTCTTCACATTAGAGCAAGGGGAAGTTCCAGAGATAGGAAAGAGAATAGTTAACCAGGAACCACTAGAAGAGTTTGAGATTACCAGTGGGGATGTAAGGAAGCTCTTCCTAGAGTTGGGTGTGACAAACGCTATAGGCCCGGATGGAATCTCCTCATGGATACTAAAGGAAGGAGCAGAGGCACTGTGCCTGCCACTCTCCATAGTGTATAACAAATCACTGGTAACAGGGGAATTGCCAAAAATTAGGAAGACTGCTAATGTAGTCCCGATATACAAGAAGGGGGATAGACAGGAAGCACTGAACTACAGGCCAGTGCCCCTAACTTGCATATCATGCAAGCTGATGGAGAAGATTGTGCGAAAAAAGCTTGTGGAACATCTGGAGCGAAAGAACTTTGTTACACAGCATCAACATGGGTTCAGGGATGGCAAGTCCTGCCTCACAGGATTAATTGAATTCTATGACCAGGCAACAAAAATCAGGCAAGAGAGGTGGGCAGACTGCATGTTTTTGGATTGTCAAAGCCTTTGACAGTACCACACAAGAGGCTAGTGAAAAAGCTGGAGATGCAGGCAGGAGTGAAAGGGAAGGTACTCCATTGGATAAGGGAGTACCTAAGTAACAGACGGCAGCGAGTCACTGTGCGGGGTGAGGTCTCAGATTGGCGAGACGTCACCAGTGGGGTACGTCTCGCGTACGTAGTGGGGTTCAGTCCTTGGACCCATACTGTTTCTTATATATGAAAATTATCTTCCAGATGGTATAGAATCATTCCTCTCATTGTTTGCTGATGATGAAAAAATTATGAGGAGGATTAAGATGGAGGAAGACAGTATGAAACTACAAGATGACCTAGACAGACTGTATGAATGGTCCAACAAATGGCTACTAAAGTTCAACCCAAGTAAATATAAGGTAATGAAACTAGGCAGTGGAAACAGGAGGCCAGACACAGGATACAGAATGGGAGATGAAGTCCAGAACAGGCATCAGCTCAGAAACTAGCACCCACAGGCCTACCTCGACCAGCAGAGACCCGAGCCCTGGCGTGAGAGGCGCGAGAGCACACAGCCTGGATGACCAGGCTGGATGCCTGGATGAGTGCTGGGAAGACGGGACACCACGAGCGTAGCTCATCCTGTAACTACACTTAGGTAATTACACTTAGGTAATTACCAACAAATCCGAAAGAGGACAGCAAGTGTTATTAGCCACCTGCAAAAACTGGGTGACAACCAAGTCCGCAAACAGAGAACAAAACAGATGAAAATCTAAGAGCCAGGGCCCAAGCAGAATCGACAGGGAGCAAGGACAGGCTGCCAACACGCAAGGCGAGAGGCACAAGACACAAACCGCCTCTCAGAGGATAGGCGCAGACAGCTTGAGTAACGCCGCTGACGCCTTAACTGCTGACGTCAACACAGCAGACGACAGCCCAGCACTCAACGCCTCCACAAGCCAGTCCAAAGACAGCTCGAGAAGGGAAAAGAAGCAGAGGACTGAGGCCAAATGCCTATAAGCACGAAGATCCTCCGCCACCAAAATAGCCTAAAGGGAAGGGATCTGGGTGTGCAACTGGAGCAAGCCAACCTCACGAGGAAGCACAGGGGCATAAAGGCACACATTAAGATGCTCAAAAGTGCCCACCAGGTAAAACTGCAATACTGTAGTGAGCTCTCGCCACTCAAGTGTGCGGGTACGACAAAACGCATATCATGCCCCCAACGAAAAGAAAGAGCAGTCTGCAAGCCAGGAAGATGCAGGAATCTTATAACTCACCTAGTTCAGAAGAAGACCCAAACTCAAAAGAAATATGGTCCATCACGGAGAAAATCAGGGTCATGCAGGAGGTAGGCATCAAGGGCCTCCTGAGCCTCCACAGGGGAAATCTTTATCCATCCTCCGGAAGGATGATAGCAGCGGAACCCAAGGAAACACAAACGAACCCAGGTTGGTAACCGAACTCATATCAAACTTGTACAAGGAAGGAGGATACAAAAACCCTGAACCTTGCAACAACAGACCCCACCCTAAGGACACTAAAAGTCCAGGTGGGATCAAAAGGGGTCCCCAAGCACCCCAAGCCAACTCCCCCTCCCCCAGCCCCAGAATCCTCCAAACTAGGCTCCGGGGCATAGCTGTCCTCAATGCCCTTCACCTTTGAAGAAAAGGTGGAGTCCAAGGGAAAGGCAGCAAAGAAAGGTGCCTAATGGAAGGACCCAGAAGCCTCGGTGGGAGGAACAGGCCTGAATGCCTCCATCTCCACATTGAATGGGGCAACCCCCAGAGCTGCCCGAGTCTCATCACCAGCTAAACCCCACCCCGACTCTAAAACCCTCAGATGTTTGGAAGCCGGCAGCAGAGGGGGTAAGAGGAGGGTGATCCACACTAACTAAGGAAGGACGAAGGGGCACGGACTGAACCAAGGCCAAAACGATCAACGCCCCTAAGTCTAGGTCCTTAAAACCAAAATGGGGAAGCCCTGGGGCATTCGAGTAGGCAACCAACCTAGCACATTACAGCAACCTAAACCTAGCATGCAACACAGAAGCTTCTTGATCCCTAACTTCAGTTACAGAAGAGTGGGTAAATTAGAGAACGAGTGGAGAACAAGTTCTACACTATTCCGGGTTGAAGGTGTTGTCGACCCAACAAGCAGCATGACGGAGGCAAAAAAGGTGATTGTCATCCTGAGACAAGGAAAACAACCCTCAAACAAGCACGAGGCGAGATGGGACCGAGTACACATCCAATGGTCAACCAAGCCCAGATGGGGTTTCCAGGGCCTGTAGAGATGGGGGGGGGTGTATCCCTAAGGGAAGCCCAGGCACTGACACTGCCAATTCCAGTTGTAACCCCATATGTTATGCGGGCAAACTGGCCCCTGTGAAGTGAGCAACCTCGGAGGCCCAGAAAAGCACTGCCCTACTGAACCTACGTACTGTAGCACCTAATAGGCAATAAAGAAAAAAGTAGGAAAAAGAACCCCGAGGAAGCACCACATCCCAGGGAACAGAAAGAGGCACGGCCACTTCTGTTATGCAAGCTGTGCAGCTCAATGTGCCATAACTAGCAACAACCACCCCCTACCTAGGGACAAACAAAAGCACCGAGATCTAAGCTGACCCTAAGGGCAAGGCAGAAGCCAAGTAACCGCTATCTCTACCGGAGTGGGAACCCAAAGGCCTCAGGGAAGAGAACCCTGCAACCTAAGGGGTGTACTCACAGGGCACTTAGGGAAGGGAGCCCTAAGCACATGCAGCCCTTGGTCACAGACTCCTGGCCATTGCACCAACGCACAGCAGGAACCACCGCCCAGGTGAAAAGTCAGTCAGGGGGAAAGGGTGTTCGCCGCGAACTAGTGGCATGTGATGTGATGACATGTTGCTTGTTTTCTTGTTTGCATTGGGGGAAGTTTCTAGCCTCTGTTTGGTCTCAGGTTGGAATTTTCCTACCATTTGGGGTCAGTTTTGGGGCACCTACCTTTCTGGTTGTCTAACCTCAGTCAATGGCAGACATGAATGCTTTCATACAAGGAAGTTTCATAGGGCCATTGCTCCTGCACATCTCTGAGGGAACCATATTCTGGCTAATGGTCCCTAGTAGGGATGACAACTCCATATGACTGAAGCCCCATACTAATATTAGCTAATATCAGTCCAATAGCTCCAGAGAGCTGATGGGGCTCCCCCACAGAAAAAATGTATTACCGGGTATATAACAGGCCTACAATATTATATATACACCTACTGTACATAAATCTGTTCCTAGTACAGTTCCAAGTCAATCATGTAACACATTGCTTTGGTGCACTTCTGTTTTGGTATGTCATCCAGGTATGGTTTCAAACACTGATTAGAAAGACCAAATTTTGATTTGATGCTAACTGCAGGACACAAGTACTTAACCTCATTGTACAGCAAGTAATTACAAAAGATAAAAAAAAATCATTGGTCTTTATAAACTCCATTATATCCATATAGGTGTGTTATAACTCTACAGTATTTGCATCACTGGTATAAAAACTGGACAATAATAACAAAAATCATTAAATGACAACAAAGTGGCACGCGAGATCAACAAATTACGATGACCACATGTTGGGAGATAACCATGAATTCTTCTATTCAACTTTTTTAATGACAGCAGGAAAGAGCAGATATTTTTCTTACTAGAAATTAATGGAAACTGCAAGGTTCAAATTTTGTTTTAGGCTCTATTTCAACACTTGGTATTGTGAGCTAGAAAAAATGGTGTCTTAGCCAAACATGTCAAAGAAAAAAACAAAACATAGAAATAGACTGAAGGAATGGGAAATAATTCAAGTTAACACATTGAAAAATAATTCCTGAAGGATTCTTTTGAAGTTTGTAGCTACACACACAGACTTGTATGTATTGCAAAGAAAAACTAAATTTATTTTCATTTAACACAGCCAGACAGAATCTATGCTAAATAATCAAGTGTTAAGTTCAAATTTATTTACTTTAAAGGAAGAGATTTTCTTTCCAGAAGAACTGAAGATAAATATCAGAGGTTTCCCGGCATGCTGAGTCTTTGTGAATTTTGTTTCGTCCCGAGTAAGAGCCAATGGGCCCCCATAAGGTGCTGCAGCAACTAGGAAGTCCCCCAGATTAATGCCTCCTCCCCATTCCATTTTGTAGAGCTCATGCTTCCTGAAATATTAAATTATTATTTATGCACACAAACTAGAAAAATAGGAGAGGAGAGGCTTGACAGATGCAATAGATCAGGTGGAAACAAAAGCTACTGTAATGTTCACACACTGAATATCAATGAAACAATTATTCTACTGGTATTCTACCCATGCTTGCAACATGGGTGGTTGCATGCAACACAGAGGAACCATAAAAGTAGGGTATTTTTTTAATTTAAGAGTAGTAGGGAAATAAAATAAAGTTGACAAGGAGCTAGAAAAAGCCAACTACTGTATCAACAATTTCAAACGCAGATATGATACAGAAATTTGCATCTAGTCATTATATCAGACTTGCAGGTGGAAAGGTAGTATCCAAGAGGTGAAGCTCAATCATGCAGGCACAAATAGGCAAGTGTATACACACTGTACATACAAATACTGTACACAAACACAAGCGAGAATAAGAGAAGGGATAGCCCATCATTAATGGATATGGTATTTACTAGGAAAGAAGAGATATTTGACATTCAGTACCTTCTATCATTCGGCAAGTGTGACAGGATCCTTTTGGAAATAAAAAATGCAATGCATTTTAATTAAGAAGAGACTGGAGAAAGGGAAATAGTGGAAAACTTGATTTCTTGAGAGGACACTATGGGGGAACTTGGCAAGTTCTCTAATGAATTTGATTGGAAAGCTTTGTTGTTGTTGGGCAAGGAAATGAGAGGTATGCCAAATTTTTAGAGAGAAATATAATAAAAATTATACAAAGACAGATTCAAAACTAAAAAGCAGGATTGGTTCAACAAATTTTTAGGGTCAGAACAAAAGACAAAAAATAAAATCAATATAAGAAGAGACCAAACACTCAAACATACCAGCAATACAAACAAGTACTACTACACAACAGTGAGAAGAGATGCAACAAAAAAAGTAATTCTGATAAAGGGAAATTGGACAAATTTACAACAGAACCAGGCCTATTCTATAAATTCATTAAAATAAAATTTCAGCTAAAGGATAAAATCCTGAAGTTGAAAATGAGGAACAGATTCATACTGAATGAAAAAAGAAATGTGTGACATGCTCAATGAATAGTTCCAAAGTGTGTTTGTGCAAAAAAGATCCTAAATGAATAACTAGTAAAATTAAGTTTTAATTTTAGAGTATAACGGCAAATAGAAATGTATCGAGACGAAGTTGAAAAATGCTCAAAGAGCAAGGTAGAAATAAAGCAGGTGGCTCAGATGAAGTTTCACCTTAAGTTTCAAGTGTGCATCTGAGCTGAGCATACCACTTCAATTATTTTTCAAGCATCTTTGTGTACAGGAAATCCTGGCAGGCACATGAAAAAAGGCAAACATAGTTCCACTCTACAAAAATGGTAGCAAAGAAGAGCCCTTTTAATTATGGATCTGCATCGTTGATAAGTGGTCATCAAAACAAAAACAACTAATTAAAAACCAAATGTGTTGAACACCTGGGGAGAAATGATATTACAGTATGGTTTTTGAACAGGGATATACTGTTAAGCAAATCTACTTAGTTTTTATGATAGCACCACAGAAATCTTGCACAAAACAAATGGTTGGGTTGGCTGCATTTATTCTGAACTAAAAAAAAAGATTGGACAGAGTTCCAAATATGAGATGTTGTTCTGGAAACAAACATACTGAAGGGGTAACAAGACAAGAGAAATGGATTAAAAAAAAAAAAATCAAACCGACAGGAAAATGTGTGTGGTAATCATAGGCAACATATCACACTGGAGAAATATTACTAGCAGAGTACTACAGGGTGACGTTCTAGCACCAGTAATGTTAATTGTCTATATAAATGATCTACCAGAAGAAACACAGAATTACTGTTGTTTCAAAGCATAATATGACAGTGCTGGGAAGACGGGACACCACGAGCGTAGCTCTCATCCTGTAACTACACTTAGGTAATTACACACAAAATGAAGGTACATTGGGTTTGAGGGTACATAACATTGATGTTTTTACATTCTTGAAAAGCCACTAACACGCATAGCATTTTGGGTAAGTACTTAATCTAACAGATAACCAAGTTGGTAATTTGTAGCAAAATTTGAATAATAGGTGCATTGTAGGAAAATGTTAAGAAAATCAATGAGTACATTCTAGGAAAAATTTAAGATTAATAATAGGTTCATTGTAGCATAATTTGATTATTATTAATAGATACATTGTAGCAAAATCTGCATTCAACATAACTATGATATAAGATGATAGAAGTGATTACAATGGTGAAGTTGTATGACTTAGGCACATATAGTGGGGGTGTGGGTAGCGCTAGATACAGTGAGAGCATAAGGCACTAGGTAGGACACTATGAGGATGAAATTAAGTACTTTTTGGTTTTGCTTTTGAACAAGGCATAGTTTGGACTGCTTTTTAAATTCGTTAGTTCCATAGACTAGGTCCCTTAAATAGCATGGAGTGTTTGCACAGATTTAGTTTAACTCTGGGGATAACAAAGATCTATTTCTGGTGTGGTGATTATGGGTTCTATTACATCTGTCAAGAAAGAGATTCAGATCAGGATTTGCATTTAGGAAGGTTTTTTTATATGTAAATATCACAGTGTACTCGCCTAATTGTGCTTGTGGGGGTTGAGCTTTGGCTCTTTGGTCCCACCTCTCAACTGTCAATCAACTGGTGACAATAGTGCGAGTGTATGTTTAGGAATTTAAACAGAGGTGATGTGTGTTGTCTGAAAACAGAGTTTGTTATTGTTGCTTTATGGATATCCAAGCTTTTTGTGTTGTGTCTTAGGTAATCGTGAGCCCAAAACGCAGTGTCTAAGGGGGCGGGTGGTCATATCTAAGCTCCCTCTGACCTGGCTGACCTCAGCCTTCAGTTTGCGTCAACTACTTAAAAGTGGACAAAATTAATTATTTTTATTCTACAAGGCGTGTTGCACCACCTGTAAAATATATCGGAGCCGAGCTGCGTCCAGTCGGCAATGAATGCCATGGTTGGTGGTCAAGTGTTGTTGTTGTGAAGTACAGGGAGGTAATACTGGAGGGCAGCAGCCCGGCGAGAGTGCTGCGTGGAAGGCAGCAGCCCGGCGAAAGTGCTCGCACGCCCTCCCTTACATTTTTTTTTAACCTTATTACAAAAAAAAAGTTATATATAAGGTAAAATGAAGATGATAAAAATCTCATCTCACAAAATGAATAGTTATAAATAAAATATAAGTCTAGTGATTCACAATTTGCGACGAAAAAAATATATAATTTTGTTATAATATAAATTATTACAAATGGCTATAATTGTTTTGCTAACGCAGAATACACTTATCTGTATAAAATATACATACAGTTTGTACTATAATTTTACTCCATGTATTTTCTTGAATTTGGTATTATTATAATTACTAAAAGTATTAGTTTAATAACAGAGGGTTGGATTACCTTGGCCTGGACAGTGGTGCCAGATTAGGCTAAGAGCAGCAAATTGGGCTACTTTTGAAAGCCCAGCGCTCCTAACTCTTTAATCTCGCTACTTGCGACATTTAGGACTAATTTAAAAATAAGTTGAGTTAATTTCGGCTGCTAATGTTAAGAGTCAATGATTGATTATTTATGTATTCATAATGTAATGTGTGTGTTATTCATAGCCGCGTCGACCTGGCAGACTGGTTGACCAAGTAAGTTTATTGAGAAAAAAGAAGTAAGGTACCGTACCATACATCTCAAAAGGATAGAGTAACTTTCGCTATTTTTACCCTCGTCTATATAAGGTTCCTCAAGGGGCTTACAAACCTATACCGTACACAATTATTAATCATATTTAAGAACATAACATAAGAATGAAGGTAACTGCAGAAGGCCTATTGGCCCATACGACTCAGCTCCTATTTATATCCACCCAGTCTCATTCCTATATGTTTCTAACCTACTAACATAATAGAAGTAGGATCGATGATTGTTTGAAGCGTAAGTTAGAGATATATATGAATAAGATTGGGTGGATATAAATAGGAGCTGCGTTGTATGGGTCGAGAGGCCTTCTGCAGTTACCTTCAATTTTATGTTCTTATGGTAAGCCACTGCTGATTGACCTGGCTAAGTTTGCATTTAAAATATACAGCTTGCCAAGCAGTAATGGCTGAACGGGTATTTTTGGTAGTAACATATGTGAAAAGCAAGCTGAGAGCTTTGGAACTAGGAAGAATGGAACTAGAGCTTTTAATATGAATCTTGAGTATGAAAATATATACATATTGAAGAAAACCTGGCAGGTATGCTGTTCACCATTCTGTAACATACAAGAATGAGGTTGTAGATACAGAAGACCTTCCTGATAATAATAAATATTGTTGGACTGTGAAGACGTTGTTGAAGGACTGCACACCATTCTTACAGGTGTAAGAACTCTTGTATATATAAATAAATAAAATAAATTACAAATTACTATTCATGCAGCAAATATTGATAAGTTATCATATTATTGCACATTTTTATTAAATACATGCAGTGCTAATATTAACAAAATCATTAAATCATATAGTGTACGCTACGTATTAAACTACATTACTTTGAAAACCGTATTAAGTCGCTGAACAAAATATTGGGCTCCTCTAATGGCAAATTCGCGAATTTTTGGGATTAAGCTGGCGACTTGCAGGCAATAAGATCTGGCAACGGTGGGCCGGGGCGAGATCAGCTGGGAGCGCAGGCGCCGGGCCCGCCATATTGTCCCTCCGGCTGCTACCACCATCACAACTCCCGGACAACATGCAGGGAACATCCTTCTCCAGCCTCAAGAGGCATCCAGCTGTAAGTGTATAATAACAGATAAGAGGTGAACCAAGGTTTTTAAACATCAGGATATTTTGAAATACCTCGGTATATGGGGCTAAATTGGTTTATTTATGTTTACATATGTGAGGGGGGCAAGCAGAACATACAAATTGTGACGTAGGTAAGGTTGTCGGGTCTTTCTCTTCCCCCTGGTAGTTGCTATCCTCTTCCAGCACGTTCCCGCCGTGTTACGACACTAACCCAGAGTTAATAGGTGATCTGGCAAGGGGGGCAGAATTACTACTGTGTGTAGTTAGCCGGCTTGTTAAAATTAACAGTGGGACCCCCAACCGTTGGTGCGTATTTTACTTGTAATGGCCTAGTTGTACTTGCGGTGGTGAGCTGCACCTCTTTAGTGTTTTATATAGTGAGTTTTGAAAGTACATATGTTGATTAAATGGTACATTCTTGCAATGCCACTAACAATATTTTGAGCAGATCCTCTACTAAACTAGGTGAAAATCTTACCTAACATTACATTTGTTTTAAAAAAAACATTTGAATTCACATAATTACTATAACAATTTAATCCTTCAGCCGCTAAGGGCCATAATGGCTTCAACAGACAAGCGCAACAAAAAAAAAATTTCATTTTTTTTTGTCTTATGAAAGTGTTGTACCCTGATCACGGGGAATAAAAATCGTAGGTAGCATATTTTGGGCGTGATAGTGGGGAAATCTGGCAAAGAAAAGGCATTGACAGAGCAGTCGTCATGAGGTCTGCTCCGCTCAGTCTGTCAGGCGGGGGTTACCACAAAGATATTATTACTTATTTCAATGTCTGATTTTTTTTTTTTTTTCCTCCAGTAATATTATTCAATAGTGTGCATTATATTTATATAATGTGTGAACCATCGGTGTTCTCAAAATTGTGTTCATTTTAGTGATTATTGTTTTATGCACATAATTTAAACAGTTTTGCTGTTATACGTATAACGTGTATAACGTTCACCATAACGAACCACTAAATTATTGTCAAAAAGCAACGAAGAGTGGCAGTCACTCGCCACCACTCCCTTATTTTTATTTTTATTTTATTTATGCATATACAAGAATGTACATAAGGAATGTGAGGATACAAATATGGTAATTACAGTCTTGTAAAGCCACTAGCACGCGCAGCGTTTCGGGCAGGTCCTTAATCTAAGAAAATTTTAAGGAGGTAAATACTTGCAAAATTTATAGACAAAAAATGATAAGATTACATGGAATGAAAAAAAAGATGAGAGAAAATTATAGGTACAGTATATTAAAGCACATAGGTAGCTATGATTGATTGCAATGACAGCTTAAAATGGTAGTTGACAACAAATTGGTAGGCACAATACAGCAGAAACAATATAAGATTGATTGCAATGACAGCTTGAATGGTAGTTGACAAAAAATTGGTAGTCACAATACAGCATATGGCTAGCACATAAAAGACAGCAATGAACACAATGATAAGGTTGTTTGATATTACATAAAAATTAGGAGATTGGGTAACACTAGGTACAGAGCAAATTTAAAGCTCAGTGTAGGAAACTAAATAGATGAAGTTAGGTACTTTTTGGTTTTGCTTTTAAATAAGGCAAAAGTTAGACTTACTCACCACTCGCCAACATACTCCTCCAACAATACTGTTTTTGCTTTTATTCACTATACACAGATGTTAAATATAAGTATCTACATGTTTTGTTCACCATAACTGTACATCTAATCTTGTAATTACCTAAGTGTAGTTACAGGATGAGAGCTACGCTCGTGGTGTCCCGTCTCCCCAGCACTGTCATGTAATGCTTTGAAATTACTGACGGTTTTGGCCTCCCCCACCTTCTCACTAGTTCCAACCGTCTACCACTCTATTTGCAAAAGTGAATTTTCGTATATTTCTCCAGCAGCTTTGTTTCGTTAGTTTAAATCTGTGACCTCTTGTTCTTGAAGTTCCAGGTCTCGGGAATTCTTCCCTATCAATTTCATAGATTCCTGTTACTATTTTGAATGTAGTGATCATATCGCCTCTCTTCTATCTTTTAGTTTTTGCATATTTAATGTGTCTAACCTCTCCTTGTAGCTCTTGTCCTTCAGTTCTGGGAGCCACTTGGTGGCATTGTGTTGAGTATCTGGGGCTTTGACTCAAATATAGAATTATTTAATTATGAGAAATAATATAAATCAAAGGACTACCCACTGTTAAGAGGGAAAACAAATAAGTGATTATAAGATTGACACTAGAACCAGTGCCTGTGTGTTAATTTAACAATCACTTAGAGAATGAATGGACTGTATTATTGATTAAAGTTAAAAGCCTCATATATCAACATTGGGGGTATTTCTAGAAGTTCATATATATCTAGGAACCAGTGTGGTTCATCACCAGTTCATTAATGGGGTTGGTAAAATAGTAGAATCTGAACTAGAATAGATTAAAAAAAATCATGAAATATTAAATATATTGAAAGATTATTAAATCCTAAGAAATACCAAATGCAAACTTATTGAATACTGAGCCATAACTTATTGCATTATATTATTCTTGATCATCCTATATAGGCATATATAGAAATTAAATTAATAAGCCTTATTCAAATTCTCTACTAAACAAGATCGTCTTATCTATAAGACGACTTCACTAAGTCTGTTTCGCTACTCGTCCTCATGATCACAAGGTCCCACTAAGGAGGAAACACCAGTGGTGAACATCGTAGGTGAGGGAAGAAAAAACTTGGTTCATCCTCGTCTACACGTTATAATCGGGGGAAATTTGAGTAGCATTTGATTAGGCTATAATTTATTCCAATATTCACTGAAATTGGAATTAAAAATGTCAACTACTAACATTGTATTGTTGGTCTTCTCACAACTTAACAGACTACCCACAAATACACAATCTTGAATGATGCATCAAACCAGAAAAGTACACTTAACGTGAGCGTGTTGGGACACTAAAGCCTGCCGATATCGCGTCTGCCAGTTCCTGATGTTCACTGCTGTGAACGTGTGGTTACGGGCCATGACTATTTGTTGACTTGTAATTAAACAGTTTAAGTACTGTAGACCACGTGAGGTTGTTAAATGGCTGCCGTCTGTGGGAGCACGTGTGCACCACGCGACGCCTTGTGGCAGTCCAGCCTCCTTCCTCGCACCACGCTCAGTCCCGCATGCGCAGAAGCGCTCATAGCGATCCCGGACAAACCATTTCGGTTTATTATTAATTATTTGGGAAATGGAAAGAGTACAATTTGAACTATTGCCAATAAATATATTGGATAATACCTTATAATAATGTGCAGTATTATAATACAAGAATGATGTATTAGTGTTGGAAACTTTCCAACAGCTTGTATGGTGAGTAAAGGCAATAAGACGTAGCTACTCGCACAGTCCGCTGGTGGCGGCCAGACTCGCTAATATTTCTCCAACAATTGTTTGTGGTGTTATTACACTATAAACACACATTATATACAAGTATCTAGATGTTTTATTCTCCATACCAGTACAAATAAGCTGGTATGGTGCCCAAAGACTATAGTGGCCACCAGTAAACATGACAAATTGTGCAGATGACGCAAAATGACGGCTCCCAACATACTCCTATTGCTGTTATTACTCTATACACACGTTATGTATAAGTATCTACATTTGTGTTCACCATAGCAAACCACTAAGCTGGTATAGTGAAGGCAGTCAGTAAAAGGTGGCCACAGATTCAGACACCACCCTCCCTCCCTATAGCATTACTACTCCTTCCATTGAGCAGAGCGCTAAATATCGCCACAATCCTGCTATTATCAGAATCCTGGTCAGTTTTATCACCTTTTGTCAAGGGTCTTCTGTAATACTATCATCGCTAAATAATAGCATGTACATATTTTGAAATTTTTAGGCAATGCCGTGATCACAAGCTGAACAGAAGTGTTGTGCACTCATGCTGCGTGCGTCAGCCTCGGTGACTCGCTCAATATTGAGACTTGCACCCAGGAATGTTGGCCACGATTTTTTTCTAGGTGGCGACTACCAACTATTGGTCATGGCTGCACTATAGCTGCCCCTATCCCATGCGGGGCATTTAAATTAAAGCACTAGACACTAAAACGGCTATTAATGTATTGCGTGGTATCAGTAATGTTACTCAAATCTCTATGTATTGTGCTATCTATGGGTTAAAGTTGAGTGGCTCTCTAGGATGATTAGTTCACTTGCCAACTGCACAATTTAAAGGCAAATGCAATATCCATTGAGAACTAGGACCACTTTTATGACTAGACTGAAAAATTTTAAATGTTTACCTGAATTTACCTGGAAGACAATCTAGTAACCATATTTGTGGTATACCTGGAGCATACCTGTAGATGGTTCTAGGCATTCTACTCCCCGAACCTGGCCTGAGGCCAGGCTTGACTTGTGATAACTAGGTCCAACAGGCTGTTGCTTGGAGTGGCCCACAGGCCCCCACATCCACTACAGCCTGGTTGGTCCGGCACTTCGCTGGTATTGTCAAATTTTCACCCTCATCCCCCCCTACACTTTTTCTGGTCATTTTTTTTTTTCCAATTTGACTATGAACTCTAGTAATATTTTTGGCATTTACTGCATCAGCGGGTAGACAGTTCGTGGGTGAAAGAGCATCTCTCATTTTCTGTTCTACGTTATGGCACGAGTTTGAAGTTGTTGCCCCTTGTGCATGTTGTTTGATCTTTTCAAAATAACTCAAAAGCTGCTGCTGTTTAATAGTAGTATAAAGGGGAAAAGTTTGCCTGTCCATGTCACGTTTACAAAAGCTGAGCCTAACAAAAGTAAGATTTTTTATGTAATATACATGGTGTCATTTTAATACAGGCTTAGGTTTTGAATGTTTCTTTTTTAAAGTGTTAGAAGATAGTGGTATGGAAATTTATTTGGATCAGGGAGGTTCAAATCGGGTTTACTAGCAAGGGGGAAATTTAATTAATCCTAGAACACTGAATACATTAACACTTTTGCACATGTAGGCACATCTGTCCATTATTTTTTTAAAATGTGAGAGCTGGGGATGCAGGTCGCATCCCCGGTTAAAATATTTAAAATTCTAATTTTTATCTGATCATTCTGGGACTGGGTTAAAAAATGATCGCCTTTAGATTGTGCATACCTTGAAACCATAATGACGACGTAGCCTGACAATTAAATTAAATTGGCCAAAAAATAAATAAAAATGGCAAAATTTTTTGCTAAAATTGAATTTGTTCTATTGCGAACAATTTGATATCAAAACAAACAACGTAGATTAAAAATGTTAACGCTGGAAAGATTATAAATACTCGTGGTGTTGTCCAAAATTAAAATATTTAAAATTCCATTTATTCTAGCATGGGACTAGTTTTACAATGTGCACCTTTATATTGTGCACAATTTGATACCAAAATGAAAGATGTAACATGAAAATTGATGTTATCAAACTGAAAAGAGTATATACATTAGGTTGCCGGTGTGCCAATTGGTGCTCGCTCATGGGTAACGGTTGGCCAAATTTAGGCTTTGCTGTGGGAGGGTTGCTCCGGGCTTTTGGACCTTGTATGCATATACGTATGTAAGGACCTTGTATGTAAGGAATTTTATTGCTAACACGATGATACCAAAAGGAACGACGTAGCACGAGAATTGAGAAACACTGAAACGCGTATACACTTCGGTGTCGCCACACTTGCCCGAAATGTCGGGAGCATTTCGGGGAAGTCTGCGGTACTCATGAGCCGAGCATGAAAGTGTTAGAGCAAGTGACCACTGTAGTTGCCAAAGGACTGAACTCAAACTCTGTAAAGAATAAGCAACTGGAGAACCCTTGGGTCAAAGGAGCCTGTGCTTGGAATGTGGTTTAGCAATCCTTGACTTGATGAAAAATCGTATAGGTAAAATTAAGGTGGCCAGTGAATGTCTTGGTAACCCAATGAGAATGGTGCTACCCAAATATGGTTTTGTGAAAGGATTTTTTCACGGACTTAAGACCTGTGGACTTTTAAGCTTCTGATTAACCCACTAAAAGTAGATATACCTGTAATATTTTTCCTTCAGTATGGGTTTTTATATGTAAGTGAACAAAAGCTGAATTTAGCATCCAGTGTAAATATTACAATTTAATTTATTTACTGATTTTCTTGGAATACTGTTTGTGTGAACCTTAGGATTTCAAGATTGACTTTGAAACCTAAGATATGTTATATACAAAAAAAAAATCACAATTTAGCAAGGAATAATTGTTTGCAGCTGATCCCACTCTACGTCTTCGTGGGTGCTGGTGTTGTTGGTGCATTTGCCTACACACTCCGCCTCGCAATAAGAAATCCTGATGTATCGTGGAACCGTGTCTCCAACCCAGAGCCTCAGAAGGAGTATGCAGAGAAGCAGTACAAAGTAAGTTGGACAAATAGGTCAAGTTGTAACCTTCATGTGTGACTGCTCAGCTGGTGGTGCTTGCATATGAAGTGTGCATGTGGTACACAATGCTGTCTTGTATAACTTCTATCTTTAAAACTTAGTTTATCTGCTTGTATATCCATATGATGGTTTCTCTTGGTATTACTGCCAAATTAAGAGGGTAAACAGTAATGCACAAGTTATTAGAAGATAATCAGTGACAACTTGAATTATTTTAAATTTACAAAAAATTGGTTGACTAACAACTTGGAAATTTTGAATTATTTAAAACATTAAATACTGTATTTATAAATGTAAAGTTTTCATATAACAAAAAATAGTTGTAAACTAGTTAACTCTTGAGTGCTGTAAGTAGCTTTGAAAATAGAAAATACATTTAAACCAAATTTTGTAAAATGTCCTAAAATAGTTCTTGCCATGGAAAAGTCATGGGAACAGACATGACTGAAGTATACTGTGTAATGGATGAAAGGGTTTGCAGAATATTGCAGTGCAAGAATTCAAAGTTAGTCTGTTTTAAAGATGTGTGAAACTAGCAATATCAGTTTTCTATGAATGCTTTGTATTCATTTCCTCTCTGAACCATGGGGGTTTGTTGTTCATCCACTTTGCATTTATTAGTTTCAACAACTAATTTACTGACTTCAGTTTATTGCCCATTGAACATCCTGCAAATAAATCCTCCTGTAGTCCTCTCTCCTGTATTTTCTGGCTCCCCGTCTTGTTTCAGACTTTGATTTCTACAATGTAATCAAAACCATATACTTTTACCTGTAGGTCACTGGCTCCTAGTGGTACCTCCTTATTTTTAAGTTCTTTGCATCTTCATTTTGGGTAAACGCCAGGTTTAGAGCAGCTGGTAGATCACTACCTCTGTCTTTTGTCAGCCTCACTTGGGGTTTTAAAATGGTGCTTTCAAGCTTGGAAATTAAGGCTTGTAATGCTGATTCTTGTGACATTAGGGTTTACAAACTGTGGCTGGCTTGGTAAAATAACTATTGCTGAATAATCATAATATAGTACAGTAATCATAAAGTACAGCTATACCTGTGTGGGTCTCAAACTAAACCTATGTTAAATGGACTCCTTGGCACAATTATTGATAATTTAAACTAATAAATCCTTGGCCATTTTTTTGTAGCTACTCTACCTTGGAAGGGTTGGAGCAAGATAGTGCATCCTTCCAAAATCCAGGTTTCCTTTATCCTGAAATCTGTGACTATTGGGACAATAAATGCCCAGGTATTATGTATGACAGGCTCTTGAATGTGAATGAAATAGGCAGTGGGATACGACTCTGACCAGGCTGCATATTCACCACGTGCCTAATTTGTGGCACACCCAGTTCCTTATTATCCAAATTGTCTTTTCCAACTAGTCATATACAAAAACTAGTTGTCATCTGTCAAAGTGCAGTGTAGTTGTCATTGTTCAAAATGTTGTTAATTGTTAATTATATTTTTTCAGTTCTACTCTCCAGTCCGGGACTATTCAACCTACAGGGCTCCCGTTCCCAAATATGAAGAGTAAAATTATATACAGTATTGATTCCCAGTAACTATAAAGTTAGCCAATTAAAATGGCTGATAATTAAGATGTAAACCGTAATGTTGGCCGTAATTGGTATTAATAGGTTTTAAACGAGATAAATTTTTAACATTAGTTACTGGAAAATTTCCCAGCATGTTAGCAATGCTGCTGTGGCATGAAGGACAATAATGTAGATAAACTCTTACTGCAATGTGAGCAGACAATAATTAGATATTAAGGTATCTTCAGTAAGCTTTTAAGAATACAGTAATTAGATTTTTAGTTTTCAGGATGAATCTTGTTACTGAAGTTCATTACTTTGAAAGTTTCTGATTTTAGTATTTTAATTTGTACAGCTGTTGTGTATAAACATTTTAAAAAATAAATTATCCTTCTGATGTAGTGTTCAGACTTTATCCAAACCCATAGCCAATCTCGTATATTTGCATACCAGAGTAGAAATACAATGTGTCAATGGTCTACTAATGTGTAAGCAACCAAGACATTAATATATTAAAAGGCTTTTTAAATTATTGCACCATGTTTTTAGGTTTTCATTTATATATATACAAGAGGTCTTACATTCTGTACAGTCACTAGCACGCATAGCAATTCGGGCAAGTCCTCTCCAGTTACCCATTTTACTGTTGGGTAAACAGAGGTTAAAGTTGAGGATTGGAGAGTAAATGCTCTCCGGCCAGGATACGAAACCAGGCGAGTGTCTCGCCACCATGACACGAGGACTGCTGGAGTAGTCCCTGTGTCAAAGTTCTCATATTGGCATCCTTGGTGATATTTAGCGCCCTCTGATTATCCCGCACATTTGATGGTGCTACATAGCCTTCCCGGTTTGGTGCCTTCTTTTGATAATTACTTACACATCTTGCCTGACTAGGTTAATAGAATTCTATGACCAGGTATCAAAGATAAAGCAAGAAAGAGAAGGCTGGGCAGACTGCAATTTCTTGGATTGTCGGAAAGCCTTTGACACGGTACTGCATAACTGGCTGGTACATAAGCTGGAGACACAGGCAGGAATGCTCCAGTGGATAAGGGAGTACATTAGCAATAGGAAGCAGAGAGTTATGTGAGACCTCAGATTGGCGTGAAGTCACCAGTGGAGTCCCATAGGGCTCTGTACTCGGTTCTATCCTGTTTGATATATGTAAATGATCTGGAGGGTATACTTATTTCTCAATGTTTGTTGATGCCAAAATTATGAGGACAGGAGGACGGCTGGAGGCTTCAAAAAGACCTAGACAAGCTGAAGGAATGGTTGAACAAATGGTTAATTTAACCCAGCAAATGTAATATAATGAAGATAGGTGTAGGGAGCAGGAGGCCAGATACAAGGTATCATCTGGGAGATGAAATTCAAGTCAGAGAGAGAAAGACTTGGGGGTTGATATCACGCCAGACCTGTCTCCTGAAGCCCATATCAAGAGGATAACATCAGCAGCATATGTTAGGTTGGCCAACATAAGAACGGCCTTTAGAAACTTGTTAAGGAATCATTCAGAGCTTTGTATACCACATATAACAGACCAATCCTGGCGTATGCAGCTCTAGCATGGAGTCCATATCTAATCAAGCATAATACTTGATACTCGAACGCTCGACTGCACCTGTCGGGCCCCGCCGTCCCTCCACTTTTATCTGCTGCTCCCTGAGCTCTCAGCAACCCTCAAATGATGTAGCATCCCTAGAAGGCAGCCAAGTACACAGTGACACAAATGTGATTGTGGGCGTGTCTTGATTGTTTCAATCTCATTTCGACCTCACTAGTGTTGCTCTCTGGAGAAAGCTGTGCCCGACGATCACTGCTGCTGCATCAACGAGTCTTCCCTATTTGTGCCTGCCTACATTTATCCTGCTACCATGAGTAACAAACCCAAGTACGGTAAGGCCACTAAGAAAGATAGCACACCCATCAGGAACAAATCAACTAGCCAGGCTAGCAACATGACTAGTTCAGCTGTCCCTCTGGGGCCGCCGACTCCCCTCAACAAAAACTATCTCGATCTCGTCACAGGCAATGCAACAATTATGTAACCGTATGGATCAACTTAAACGAGCTGCCGCCCCTTGTTCGGACTTAGCGCTTTGCTGATAACCCATGGCTCAAGTTATTAACCCAAATACATGAAGACCATATGTCAGTAATCCAAGAGCAATCTGCCTTGATGATAAACCTGCGAGGTTTAGCTATAGCCAAGCTCAAAGATAATAAAGATCTGTGTCGACCTCCTCGAACTAGAATTAAGCTCACAAGAACAGTTACTAATTTTAAACGAGCAGAAACCACTAGAAAACAGGACAAAATGTTGCAAAAGTTTGAGAATCATCTTGCCACCCTACAACAGCAACACACAATTACCTAAGACGAATCAGACCAACCTAAACTCCTTGATTCTGTCGTTACCTCTTCACGTGATTTTTCCCAAGAATCTGACGGAGAGGACTGCTGCCATCGTGATCCAGGAATTGAAGGATAATATAAGGTATTCAATCCAAAAAAGTGATATCAAATCGGCTTATAGAGTGGGTATCAAATCATTATATTATGGGTATTATACAGCACATGATGGGAATGTTTTAACTTGTAATCACAATGTTTCTATAACTTGAATGCAAGATCTCTAAGCAAACACTTTGAATCAGGGCATTAACATCATCAAACAGTTGACAACAAATTCTCTCTGGTTGTTTATTGAAACGTGGTTAAAAGATGACACTACTCAACTCGACAACATGCCTAACTACTCAGCTATTCACAACTGTCGTCCTATACAGAGGTGGTAGTACTTCTCTTTACTACCACCAAGAACTGACTTGCTTACAAGTAATTAAAACTAAAGACCCTTGTGGAGAGTATATATTTGCCTGTTTCAAAATAAAGGGTAGCGATACTGTCCTGACTGTGGGAGCAGTCTACAGGATTCCTAACACTGATGTGACTGAATTTAACTAACCTTAGAAATCTAATACTAGATAAGACTAACACATGTACATATACGGCACGCATAGACGAGATAACACACCTAAATTATTGGGATAGTCTCAAGCTCTCCAAATGTACTCTCTAGAAAGGAGACGAGAGAGATCCCAAATAATATACACATGAAAAGTACTGGAGGGCCAGGTCCCAAATCTACACAGTAAAATAACAACGTACTGGAGTGAACGATATGGAAGAAAATGCAAGATTGAACCAGTGAAAAGCAGAGGTGCCATAGGCACAATCAGAGAGCACTGTATAAACATCAGAGGTCCGCGGTTGTTCAACAGCCTCCCATCGACTAAGAAATATTGCCGGAACAACTGTGGACATCTTCAAGAGAAAACTGGACTGTTTTCTAAGAGAAGTTCCGGATCAGCCGGGCTGTGGTGGGTACGTGGCCCTGGGGGCCGCTCCAAGCAACAGCCTGGTGGACCAAACTCACAAGTCGAGCCTGGCCTCGGGCCGGGCTTGGGGAGTAGAACAACTCTCAGAACCGTATCAAGCAGACTGAACAAAAACCATCTAATTATTTCTGGGGACTAACGTTGACCTCTGCGAGCCTGATAACCCTCCTGCTGCTAGTTTCCTTAACCATATGAATTCCTACTTCCTCATACCCTTAATCACTAGACCAACTAGAATCACTGATTATACTGCCACAGCTCTTGATCCAACCCGTTCTCGCAAATTTAATAAGTCAATATTGACTTATTAAATATGTGCATAGGTGACATACTTAACATAATAGTTTCCCTTGAAAAGCTTCATAGAAAACACCGACCTTACCTAACCTACTTAGTATGTTAAGATAAGCATCTTATTGCTTCGTAATTACAATTATTACCTAACCTATACCTATAATAGGTTAAGTAACAATTGTAATTACGAAGCTATAAGATGCTTATTTTAACATACTAAGTAGGTTAGGTAAGATCGGTGTTTTCTATGAAGCTTTTCAAGGGAAACTATTATGTTTAGTATGTCACCTATGCACGCAACTAATAAGTCAATATTGACTTACCAAATTTGCGAGAACGGGTTGCTTGATCACATCTGGACCAACATAACCTCTGCATGGCTTCAAAAGCACTACAGACCATTACTCAACATTTCTCCTAACCAACATTAACAAACCACCTCTAGATACAAGGAAGATAAGCTTCAGGCTGCACAATGAAACTTCTATAGGCAATTTTATAGCTGCTGCTTCAAATATCAACTGGAAGTCCGAATTAGGTAACATAGGGGACATTAACCTAGCAGTGCAATCATTTCTTCAAAAAACTTCACGTGGCAGGTTCTTGATGACCTCCATGGCAGTGACCATTTCCCCATCCATGTTTCCTTTTTTTCTTTTCGTCCTTCCCTCTCCTTCCCGAGGTGGCAGTTTGCTAAAGCGGACTGGAACCTATTTACCCTCAGTGCTGCTCTCTCTGACCTCTCCCTTCTGCCTCTCCCTCGCGCTCTCCTTTTTCATGACACTGTCTTCGATGCTGCCCTCCGCTCTATTCCTCGCTCTTCCTCTTGGGGTCCGCGGAAGTGCGTTCCCTGGTGGAATGCAGACTGTGCTCGGGCTGTCCGCTGTAAGCGTGCAGCTTGGAAGAGGCACCGCCGTCGGTAGATGGCCGATTCTTTTCTTTTCTTTTCTTTGGGAAAGCGAGTGCGGTGGCCCGTAGGGCCATCCGTACGGCTTAACGTGAATGTTGGGCATCTTATGTCTCCACAATTACGTCCGAAACTCCCCTGCCACAGATCTGGAAGCGTATCCGCAAGATAGCGGGTAATTAAGTTCGTTCCCGATGTTTCACCGGTCCTTCACCTCCGTGGTACTCTTGTGGCAGAGCCGATGCAGGTCGCTACCGAACTGGGTTCCCACTTTTCTTGTTAGCTCTGGTCTTCATCTTCCCCAATCTTTCCTTCTTCGTAAACCTGTCCTTGAGTCTCGTCCTTTAGGTTTCTGCACTCGTCTTCGACTTTCCTATAACGATCCCTTCTCTCTCTCTGAACTTCGTTCTGTCCTGGCCCTCCGCGGTTCTGCGGCGGCGGGCTCCGATGGTATTCATTATGAGATGCTTCGCCATCTCCCTCCGTGCACGTCTCAGTACTTACTGAGTCTGTATAATCGGATCTGGGAGTCGATGTCAGTCCCTGAGGACTGGCTCGATGCCGTTGTCCTCCCTGCTCGCAAACCAGGGTCTCTGGGAACTTACCCTAAGGACTTTCGCCCTATTGCCCTCACAAGTTGTGTCTGCAAACTCTTTGAACGTATGGTTAACGTTCGTCTGATGTGGTTCCTGGAACACCATCACCTCTTCTCAATTTGGTTTCCGCAAGTGCCGCAGCACGACAGATGTCCTGGTGAACTTGGAGGTCTATATTCGTACTACTTTTGCTGCGAGGACCTCCGTTGTTGCCGTCCTTTATGACCTGGAAAAGGCTTACGACACCACTTGGCGATATCATATTCTGTCCCAACTTCATTCTTTTGGCCTTACCTTACCTTGAGGTTTCCTTGAGGTGCTTCCGGGGCTTAGCGTCCCCGCGGCCCGGTCGTCGACCAGGCCTCCTGGTTGCCGGACTGATCAACCAGGCTGTTGGACGCGGCTGCTCGCAGCCTGACGTATGAGTCACAGCCTGGTTGATCAGGTATCCTTTGGAGGTGCTTATCCAGTTCTCTCTTGAACACTGAGGGGTCGGCCAGTTATGCCCCTTATGTGTAGTGGAAGCGTGTTGAACAGTCTCGGACCTCTGATGTTGATAGAGTTCTCTCTCAGAGTACCAGTTGCACCTCTGTTTTTCAACGGGGGTATTCTGCACATCCTGCCATGTCTTCTGGTCTCATGTGATGTTATTTCTGTGTGCAGGTTTGGGACCAGCCCCTCTAATATTTTCCACGTGTAAATTATTATGTACCTTATGTAACTTCTTGGTGACTCGGATACTTTTGATATCGTTCGCCTTATGCGTTTTTGTTCATGTATTGGCATCCTTGGTGATATTTAGCGCCCTCTGATTATTCCGCACATTTGATGGTGCTACATAGCCTTCCCGGTTTGGTACCTTCTTTTGATAATTACTTACTTCAAAAAACTCTCAGCCTTTATATCACCCACTGTCCTTTGCTAACAAAGGAAGTCACAACTAAAAGGCTAAACAATCCTTGGCTTACAAAGGGGATACTATTAATAAAAAACATGACCTTGAGAAGAAATATAGGTTAGGAATCGTCTCCAAAGAATTTTCAAAGAATTACTCATCATTGCTATCTAAAATAATTAGAAGAGCCAAAATTAAATACTATGAAGATAAATTTACCCAAACAAAGGGCAACATTAAGAAAACATGGATTGCAATTTCACAAATATTGGGATCAAAAATGATTTTAAGTAACAAACCAATACTCCTGTCCAATAACGATAGTCTGCTTTCAGCCTCTGATACTGCTATTCTTTTTGATAATTACTTGCTTACTCTGATACTGCTATTGAATTCAACAGGTTCTTCTCATCCATTGGGTCATCCCTTGCTAATGATATTCCATCTTCCAGTACTAATGTTCAGGACTATCTTACAGGTACCTATCCGCAGTCTCTGTACCTAACACCTGCTAATTCCACTGATGTTAATGAGATAATCCTTTCCCTTAAAACCAAGTCTAGCTTGCCCTTGCAGAGATACCAACTCTAATTTACAAAAAAGCCTCCAGATCTTGAGCTCCTGCCATTGATTTGCGCTACACCAAGTCACCTGAACTCCAAACCTTTCCAGATACAGTATTTAAAAAAAAAAAAAAAAACAGTAACCCCAGTCCACAAATGTGGTTATCTCACTGATGTCAACTTCAGACCTATATCAATTCTGCCACACTTGTCAAAAATATTTGAAAAACTAATCTACAAGCAGCTTTACTCTTATCTAACTAAACACAATATACTTAGCTCTTGTCAATATGGCTTCAGATCTTTTAAAAAGCGCACCAAAGATGCACTTACTAGTATGATTAACTTGATACATGCAGCTCTTGATAAAAATGAGTTCCCTGTTGGATTATTTGTGGACCTGCTTAAGGCTTTTGACACTCAACCACCAAAACCTCCTTAAATTACATCACTAAGGAGTCAGAGGTCACTCCATGCAATACCTTCAGTCTTACCTTACCGACAGGCTCCAGTATGTTTCTTTGAATAATTCAATTTCTCCCACCCTACCCATCAACATTGGTGTTCCTCAGGGCAGCATACTTGGCCCTCTCCTCTTTCTCATCTACATTAATGACCTTCCAAAGGCCTCCCAACACCTCAAACCAATTCTATTTGCCGATGACACAACTTTCAGTTTCTCCAGTCCTGACCCTCTTGCTCTAAATGTCACAGTGAATACTGAATTAAATAAAGTCCATCTCTGGCTTACTGCTAACAAACTTGCCCTCAACATTGACAAAACTTTCTATATTTTGTTTGGCAATAAATTTTCAAAGTCAAATTAATCTCTGTATAAACAATATCCAAATTTGTGACAAAGTAGATGGCAAATTCCTTGGTGTTCTTATAGACAAGCTGAATTTCCAGGGGGACATTCTAAATGTGCATAAAAAAAAAAAAAAAAAAAAAAAAAAAAAAAAAAAAAAGTTTCAAAAACTGTTGGCATTCTTTCTAAGATCAGGTATTATGTAATTCACCCTGCCCTGGTGACGCTCTATTACTCTTTCATCTATCCTTATCTTACCTATGATATTTGTGCTTTGGGTTCTGCTACCCAAAATCATTTACATCCTCTAATTACTCAACACAAAGCTGCTACAGGTATTAGAACAATATCTAACTCTGGCCCCAGACAGCACTCGGTACCCTTACTCAAATCTCTGAATATGTTAGATATTAAGTCACTGCACATCCTCTCATGTGTACTTTATATATTTATATGTCAATCCTGACCTTAAAATCTTCCTAGAAAGTTGTAACAGAGCCCATTGGCACTACACCAGAAACAAATACCTATTTGAGATTCCAAGAGTATGACTTAAACTAGAAATGCTTTACAAATCAAGGGACCCAAATTATGGAATGACCTCAATCATGTCAAAGAGTGTACCTCTCCCAACCAGTTTAAGATAAAAACTAAGTCCTACCTAATTAACTCCATGTAACCTACCTTACCCCCAAATGTCAACCCATGTCTTACTATTTTAAACAATGCTGTTTGTTGACCAAATTGTATATTTGCTATTTTCTGCCATGTTCCCCCCCCTTTTTTTATTTTTTTTTTTTCAACAATTTATACTTTAATCTCAATTAGTATTAAGTTTTAGTCTAAATGTTTTTCCTGCCCGAAACACTTTGCGTAATAGTGGTTTTAGGCTTTATGTATTAGCTCTATCTATAAATCCATCAATGTTTGTATCTCACTTGTATGTATGTACTTTACCTGAATAAACATTTGATTTGATTTTGATTTGATAAGACTAAACTGGAAAAGGTTCAAAGGTTTGCCACCAGACTATTACCCCAAACTGAGACGTATGGGCTATGAGGAAAGACCACGGGAATTAAAACCTCACGTCGCTGGAAGACACAGTTAGGAGGGGACATGATCACCACATACAAGATATTCAAAGGCCTTCATAGGGTAGATAAAGACAGGCTATGTAACAAGGGGCACACGCACCAGGGAACACATGTGGAAATTTTGTGCCCAAATAAGCCGCAGAGATATTAGAAAGAACTTTATTAATGTCAGTAATTGACAAATGAAATGCATTAGGAAGTGATGTGGTGGAGGCAGACTCCATACACAGTTTCAAGTGTTGATATGATAGAGCCGAATAGGCTCGGGAACCTGTACACAAGTTGATTGACAGATGAGAGGTGGGACCTAAAAGCCAGAGCTCAACCCCCCGCAAGCACAACTAAGCAAGTACACAAATAGTAGGGCAGGATCATTTTTGGAATAAAATCTACCAATTGTCGTTTACTTTTTAATTCCCAAAACCAAACTTCAGAACAATGCTTAATTTACAGGCAAAATTGTTTAATTTCTTATTTTTCATTATATGGTTCCTCTGAAAGGTGTCAAACTACAAAAGTTCATAAACTAAACATTTATTCATTGAGTGAAATGGTACAATATTCAAACATTTTAACCTAAAAAAAAATATACTTTGCACTTATTAAAATTCAGTTTGGAATTTCGCATTATCAAGTCTGATAAACATCCTTGGGGTTAGATTTAGTTCAAACAGAAGTCTGAAAATGGAAGGTGTTATCAATGCTTTGTCTTCTTTTATCAAAAGAAGACAATTTTAACATTTTCTTTATACATTTGGCATCATTAGCAGTAAATAAATTTATCAGTAAACTTCTATTTATTGTTGAACTTAGAAATGTTGGATAACTAATAAAAAAAAAAATTCAGGACAAGATAGTGTTGCCAATGTAACTAAACCAGATTAGTTTAATTAAAAATGCCTACAATTACACAAACTTAGTTTATTTTCTTGTGTTGAATTTGCCTTGTGTAAAATTACTTTGGTTGTTGAGTCTTCTGGCCACAACCTGAGAATGAATAAATAAAAATAAATAAATAAATAAAAATAAATGTTAAAATTAGGCAGAGAATTCATTAAAATTTTTTCACAAATCTGCTGTTATGGCTTTAAACACTCATCCCTCTCAGCAATTTAACCTATTTTCAAGTGGGGGGGAAAAAAAAAAAACACATTCAGGATGCCAATTTGGAAACAACACGAGAAGCACAACACTCCAGGTAAGGCAATTATCAAAAGAAGGCACCAAACCAGGAAGGCTATGTAGCACCATCAAAGTGCGAAATAATCAGAGGGCGCTAAATATTACCAAGAATGCCAATACGAGAACAAAAACGCACAAGGCGAACGATATCAAAAGTATCCGATTCACCTAGAATTCTATCGAGGGACAAGTGACCGCAAGGGACGGTCGGAAAGCAAGACACACGCTCGTCCAGGAAGTCAGGACATTCAACAAGGATATGCACAACTGTAAGAGGGACAACGCAATTCACACAATAAGGAGCAGGGCGGCGCTCCATTAAGTGACCGTGGGTTAAGCAAGTATGGCCAACCCGCAGCCGTGCCAAAGCAGTTTCCCACCGCCGGTTACGGTGGTAGGAGGAAGGCCACGGGGACACGGTACGTTTGAGAGTACGCAACTTGTTACCAACCACAGAGGACCAACAACCCTGCCAACGGGCATGGATGGAGGAATGAATAACAGGATAAAAGTCGGAATAAGGAATACCTTTACGGGAGATGGGACAAGAACGGATAGTTTCCTTAGCGGCAGCATCCGCACGCTCATTGAAAGAAACACCAATATGGCTGGGAACCCAGCAAAACTCTACTGATTTAAATTTACTAGAAATAAGAAACAGCCAATGTTGAATCTCGATGACCACCGGATGGACAGGATTAAAGGACCCTAGAGCCATGACAATGAGAAAGCAAAAGACGGAGAGCATAGAGAACAGTATAAATTTCTGCCGTGAAGACGCTAGCCTCTGAAGGGAGGTGACATGTATAAGTGCGGTCAGGAAAAACAACAGAGTAGCCCACACCATCCGCAGACTTAGACCCATCGGTGAAGATGTTAATAGAGTGGGAGTGCGAAGAAAAGTGCTCAAGGAAAAGGCATTTCAGAACCGTAGGAGGGGTAAAAGCTTTAGTGACACGGGTCAAGGACGTACAAAACGTTGGAAGGGGGACTCTCCACGGAGGCGGAGAGTCCCCCTCCGAACATAGAGAGCGGAGAAGACGCCAGAAGGAAGAGAGGAAAGAAGACCGTTGAGGGCAACTAGAAAGAGTAGTGCTCAGAACACTACCCTGGAGTACACCCTCATACTGCATAAAAAAGGCAGAGAGAGAGGTACCAAGCCGCACACGAAAGGAACGACGAGAAAGGAAACTCTGGAGGAAGAGAGGGAGATTCCCACGAAGGCCAAAAGAATGAAGTTGAGACAGAATATGATACTGCCAGATAGTGTCGTAAGCCTTTTCCAGGTCAAAAAGAATAGCAACAATGGAGATTTTCGCAGCAAAAGCAGTACAAATATAGACCTCCAAGTTCACCAGGACATCTGTTGTACTGCGGCACTTGCGAAAACCAAACTGAGAAGGGAAGAGGTGGTGATTTTTTTTTTTTTTTTTTTTTTTTTTTGAGAGATATACAAGAGTTGTTACATTCTTGTACAGCCACTAGTACGCGTAGCGTTTCGGGCAGGTCCCTGGAATACGATCCCCTGCCGCGAAGAATCGTTTTTCCATCCAAGTACACATTTTACTGTTGCGGTAAACAGAGGCTACAGTTAAGGAATTGCGCCCAGTAAATCCTCCCCGGCCAGGATACGAACCCATGACATAGCGCTCGCGGAACGCCAGGCGAGTGTCTTACCACTACACCACGGAGACTTTTAGCGTTTTAAGAACCAGATCAAATGAACGTTAATCATACGTTCAAAGAGCTTGCAGAAAACTCGTGAGGGCAATAGGGCGGAAGTCCTTGGGGGATGACCCGAGACCCCCTGGTTTCCGAACAGGGAGGACAACGGCATCGAGCCAGTCTTCAGGGGACTGACGACGACTCCCAGACCCGATTGTACAGACTCAGTAAATACCGAGACGTACACGGAGGGAGATGGCGAAGCATTTCATAATGAATGCCATCGGAGCCCGTTTCCATAGAACCGCAGAAGGCTAGGGCAGACTGAGGCACAGAGAGAGAGAGAGAAGGGATCATTATAGGGAAGTCGAAGATGAGTACAGAAATTTAAAGGACAAGATTCAAGAATAGGCTTCCGAAGAAGGAAGGATTGGGGAAGATGAGAACACCAGAACTAACAGGTGAAAAGTAGGAACCCAGTTCAGTCGCGACCTGCAACAGGTTCGCCACAAGAGCACCACGGAGGCGAAGAGCCGGCGAGACATCAGGAACGAACTTACCTGCAATCTTGCGGATATGCTTCCAGACCAGTGGTAGAGAAGTTTCGGACGTAACGGTGGAGACACAAGATATCTAGTAAATACGTTTAGCCACACGAATGGTCCTATGGGCCACCGCACTCTCCTTCCGAAACAAAAGAAAAGACTCGACTGTCTGCCGGCGGCGATGTGTCTTCCAGGCTGCACACTTACAGCGGACAGCCCGAGCACAGTCAGCATTCCACCAGGGAACACACTTCCGCGTTCCCTGAGAGGAAGAGCGAGGAATAGAGTGGAGGGCAGCATCAAAGACACTCATGAAAAAGAAGGAGGGAGCGAGGGAGAGGCAGAACGGAGAGGTCGGAAATAGTAGCACGGAGAGTAAACAGGTACCAGTCAGCCTCGGCAAACTGCCACCTAGGGAAGGAGAGAGGAGGGTGAAAAGAGAAAAAAAGTAACAAGGATAGGAAAATGGTCACTGCCATGGAGGTCATCAAGGACCCGTCATCCGAAATCTAAGGAAAGGGATGAGCACAGAGAAAGATCGAGACAGGAAAGGGAGAGAGTCAGAGAGTCCGAGAGTCCAAATGAGTGGGCTCACCAGAATTCAGAAGGGAAAGAGAAGAAGAGGATGAAAGGTTCCAGGAGGCGACCCCGGGTGTTTGTCATCACCCCAAAGGGCATGACGACAATTAAAATCACCTAGCAGGAGCACAGGCTCCGGCAGGGAGTCTAGGAGGTGTTTAAGATCAGGAAGAGAAAGTTGGACAGTGGAGGGGAGATAAATGGAACAAACTGTATACCATTTACGCACAAAGACACGGGCAGCAGAACAGTGGAGAGGCGAGGAAAAAAGTAAGGGGACGAAGGGAACATCAGAGCGAATCAAGAGAGCAGAAGAGTTATGGGCCCCAGCTGTTGCTGGGGGGGGGGGGGGGGGGGAAGAAAAGAATAGCCACGGAAGCGACCAGGACGAGCACCAAGCTGAATTTTGTGTCTGGAGACAGACACAAAGGGGCGAAAACTGAAATTAGAAGTTGGAGGTCAAGGAAATTGGCGTAATATCCAATTACGCCAATTTTTGGATATTACGCCAAAATATCCGTAATATATTTTGTTCCATTGAAGAATAGACATCGGCAAAAAGAGAAAGGACAGCAACAGAGAGCAAAGAAGAAACAAAGGTGAAAAGGGAACACAGCACGTTAAAGAAGCACAGGGACAGGATCAGGGTTAAGGGGCATGGGTAAACGAGTAAAGAAGGAGGGAAAGAAGCGAGAGGACAGACCAGAGGTGGACGAGCAGGGTCTGGAGGAGGAGAAGGAAGAGGAGGAGGGGCAGAAAGAGGGGAGCGCACCTCAGCAAGGGCAGTAACCGAGATGGAACCGGGGGCAAAAGAAGCCTCCACAGTAGGAACAGGGGGCTCCACCATCGAAGCGGGAGGAACGATAATCAGAAATAGGGGGCGAAGAAGAAAGCGAAGCCTTCTTACCCACCGGGGAGGAGGAAGGAGAGGAGCCAGGTTTCCACTTCTGACTCAAAGAGACATGTGTCCCAGCAGCAATGTACTGTGCAACAGGCTCCAGTGTCTCGACAGGAAAAGAAGAGCGAGAGCGAACAACATGACCACCAGGAGAGCGATGGACATCGGCCCGCACAGTCAGGCAGCGCAGAGAGCCAAGAGATGGAGGAGAATGACAGTAAGGAGGACCAGAGGAAGAGGAGAAAGAAGACACAGGAGACATGACAGACTGGGTAGAAAGAAGGGGAACCCTAGACAGAGAACCAGGAGGGGGACCCTCTGGGACAGAACAGAGAAACAGGGCAGGTGGTGGTAGGCGTGTTCGGGTCTAAGGCTTGGAAACGGTTGTGAGACTGAGGAATGTGGAAAGGATGAGGAGAGGAAGAGCGCACCACGCGAGCATAGGAGATGCCAGCGAAAGAGGGAAGATGACGAACTTGGCACCGAGCCTCAGGAAAAGACAGACGGTCCCGGTGCTTCAAGTTGAGGACGGCCGCCTCAAGTTTGTAACGTATACACGTACGGGAAAAGGTAGGGTGGGCCTCACCACAATTGAGGCAGCGGGCCTGGGGAGAAGTGCACTCCAACTTAGAGTAACCCTCGCCTCCACACATGGGACAGAGAGAGACAGGCCTAGAGCATTTGAGGGCACCATGCCCAAACCTCCAGCACTTATTGCAGAGCCGAAGAGATGGAATATACTCCTGAACGGAGCATCTAGCACCAGCAAGAATGACAGAGGGTGGAAGGGTCCTACCATCAAAAGTAATCTTCACAACCCGAAGGGGCAGACGGCGATGACCACGAGGGGGACGAGTAAACGTATCCACCTGGAGGACAGAATGACCCTGGGCCTCGAGGATATGCTTGATATCCTCGTGGCAGTCTTTTAGATTCCTAACACCGGTCGCAACATGGTGCGGGAGGAGAACAGTGCCTACACTGGCATTTAACCGAGCGTTCTTGGAAACCCGAACAGGGGTCTTGCCAAGGCAGGATAAGGCAGCCAAGCGGGTGGCTGCATCCTGAGGAGCAGCAGCAACGACACGGGCACCAAGACGGGTGGGGCTGAAGGCAAC